TTCTAGAATGTTCATAGCAGCATTATTCATAATAACCCCGACTTACAAAATACTTAAATATACATCAATAATAGAACAGATAATTATTCATATAACAGAGTATTATACGAAACTAACTCCACATGGGTAAATCTCTCACACATAATGCCATGAGGATACTTCAAAAAGTTCATGGAAAGATTCATATTATCTTTTAATTCTATTCTCCTCAAACCTTTTTTTTTTTTTTCCTTTTTTTTTTGTCTTTTTTACTGACCAGTAACGGGATCGCAACCCTTGGTGTCGCGCCTGTACTGGAGACCGGCAATGGGATCACAACCCTCGGTGTTGCGCCCGCACCGCGCTTAGCCAGTGAGCGGAACCGGTCTCCACATGGGATCCAAACCCTCGGTGGGAGCGCCGCCGCGCTCCCAAGTGGCACACTCTCCAGTGTGCCACCACGCCGGCCCCTCAAACCTTTTGAAGGCTTTCTCATATGAGAAAAAAGTCAAAGCCAAAAGTGTACTTTCTGTCTGATTCCATTCATATAAAGATCAAGAACAAGCAAAACTAACCTAAGGGGTTAGAAGTCAGAGGGGGTACAATGGGGGTGGGGGTAAGGGTTACTGATGGGGGGGACACGGTGGGGACTGCTGAGATGTTCACATGCTCTGTTTCCTGATCTGGGTGCTGGTTACATGGCTGCGTGCAGTTTGTGACATTCACTGAGCTGTCACTTGGTGATATTCACTTCTTTGTAATAATGTTAGCCTTCAATAAAAAGTGGTTTTATTTAACTAAGGAAAACAAACAAACAGAATGAACATTCCAAAGGCGTGCAAATATTGGGGTCCCTCATACAACCTACAGAGAAGGAATGGTAAAGAAGATTACAAATTAAATGACCTAATTAAAATCTAATCAAAGCCCATTAGAATCTAACCAAAGATTAAATAAGACCAATTGATGAGACAGTAGAGTGAATCCCAGGGTAGGGAGGTTCCCTCACCAAATCCACACCCTTTGAAGACAAAGCAAGCAGGACTGGGAACAGCTGGTGTGGTATTTGCTCTGCACCTGAATCACTCGATCCTCAGAGGCCTGCTGTGAGCCAGCCCATCCAGGCCTCAGACACATGCAGGGAACTGCTCCCACACAGTCCCTGCCTTGGGGGGCTTATATTCTAGCAAGGGGAGGCAGCATTGAATGGGAAATCACAATAAAGCGTAACAGGTGTTGGGAGGGTTGAGGAAGCTGCAAGGGCCCCCAGAACGAATCTCTGCCTAGTCTTCCTCTGTGCCTCACACTCAGAGGCTGCAGTTGCAAACTGCCCGATGCCCTTCAAGGCCCAGCTCCAACGCCACCTCCTCCAGGAGGCCTCTCTGATCTAGTCTTCCTTGTGCACCAACTGCCCGATGCCCTTCAAGGCCCAGCTCCAACGCCACCTCCTCCAGGAGGCCTCTCTGATCACCCCGATACAAATCTTTCAACCCTTTCAGTTCCTGTGACTCTTGGCTTACTTGCCAGCAGAGCATGCTCCTGCAATGTCAGGGCTGATTGTGCACAAGACTCTCCTAGGAAGAGGAGGAGGTCTAACCATTCTTGGCTCCCCAGTGCTAAGCCCAGGACTGGCAGTCAAGACCTGTTAGCTCACAGGGAGATTGCTGGATTAGGAATAGACAAATGCTTCCCACATTTCTTGCTAAACCTGATCATTTACCTTCTATATAAAAAATGAGATCCCGGGACTATCCCAAGGAGAACTAGGAAGGAAAGAGAGCCAGTCTCCTGTACACTCACCTCTTCTCTTAGCAACACCTCCTGCCCTTATGGTAAAGTCCTAACCCTTTGGTCCAGTTCTTTCATACTGCCTGAGGCAACCACACATTTCTCATACAGAAACTTAACTTCCCTGTGTCTCATTCCATAGGCATTTGCTCTCAGCTGGGGGTCCATTCAGAAAGTAGCTGATAAATAAATTCATACTAAAGTGTTAGAAGCAAACAATAGCTTAATATATTGTCCTTCCCTGGAGTGGTGCTTTAATCCAAAAGGACACGTGGATGGCTAAATTTTACACACCTGGAATGGGTAAGACAGTCGACTGTCTGCTTTCCATATAAGTCTGTTTCTTTCTCTCCCTCCCCTTCCTCTTCCCCCACCCCTCCCCCAAAAGGAGAACTATGGGGTAGGAGGAACGTAGTTTGAGGCCTATCAACAAGACCAGGGTTCTCAACTTTAGAATCTTCTGGGAAGATTTTAAAAATTACTGATCTCTGGGCCCCACTCCCAACCAATTAAATTAGAACTCTTGCAGAAATGGGGCCTGAGCACCACTATCTTTTAAGTTCCCCAGGTGATTCTAATGGGTAGCTGAAGCTGAGATCCACTGAACAAGAGGCCCACCCAAATTATAGGCTTCCTTTTGATCAACTTGAACCTTCTAGAAACTGTCTTTACTTTCCTGGAAAAATAAAATGTTGGCTTTATGCCCCTGAGAAAAAGAAGGCTCAAAGAGGCTCATAAGAAGAAGGCTTCTAAATATTTTGAAAGCCTGGGTCTTCAGATGAGTCCCCAGAATCATGGGCACATGGCTGTGCTTACTGGAAGTGGTACGAAAGATTGCAAGATTGTGAGAAAAACGTATACCGCAAGGGTGGAAACTAATTCAGCTTATCATTGGGTAGGAGTTAACATCTGTCTCTGGGCAGATGGAAGACCGGAGGCAACCACTGAACTGCGCATGTTTCATTCACTCATTTATTTATTCATCTGTTCAAAATAGATGTCTATTACGGGCAAGACTGTGAAGGAAATAGAAGAATGTGGCACAGGAGTTATCCAGGCTCTAGGGCCAAACAAATCTGGGCTCCCATCCTGACCCTGCCACCAGCTCCTGTGTGACCTGAACCCTTTCTGCACCTCTGTGCTGAGCCAGCCAGTGTGCTGGGGGCAGGTAACATGGTTATGGACCAGCAGGCAAGGGCTCCAGCTCACATGGGGCTCACAGGCAAAGAGACACTAGCTAACGTAAACATCCCCATCTCTGAGCCCTTTCCTATTCAGTAAAAGGCTCTGATGAGGATTAAACTACAGAATATGAGACAATGCCTTGAACCCAGGAAATGCTCGCCAAATGGTAATTATAACTATCATTATGAGCGAGTCCCAGGCTTCAGGGAGCAGCAGGCATCGGCAAAGGAGCTAAGGAATGCCCAGGAGACTCAGTCAGCTGGGTGGGCTCCCTGGAGGGGGTGGCTGGGTTCCTCTCTGCTGACCAGGGTGAGTTAACAGGAGGTGCCCAGGTGTGATCAAGGGAGAGATGGGACGGGGGTATGTGAGCACATGCGAATGACTGAGCAGAATTGTGTGGGTGGTCAAGGCACAGAAAGACCCACGCTCCCTCCCCAGGACAGCCCATCCCTGCAGCTATTGTGGCCTTAAACTACTCATCTGCGTCATCATCCCCCTGCAGTCATTTGCCACGTCTGGCCCCTCCTAATCCTGTCTCTTGGTCTGCTCCCCACCGCCACCCACGCTGGCCCCATTCCAGGCCAGACCTACATTCTCTCCCTCCAGGACTATCATACATGTCCCCCCACCTCCCCCCAGCCCTGGTCTCTCTGCCTCCTGTCAGCCTCCTTAAATCCACTGTCTGTGCTAGTGTAGAAACATCGATCTGACATACTGTTCTAGCCTTGTCACTCAGAAGCTCCTTATCACCTAAAACAGTGGTTCTCACTGGAAACAGTTTTGCCCCCTGCCTTCCCTGGGGACACTTGGCAA